GATTCTGACACATAGTGACCCTGTAAGGGTTTCCAGGAGCAGATGGTGAACTTGAACCGCCAACCTTGCAGTTCAAACAGCTTTGCAGTCTGATGCATTAACCCATAGTGCCACACCAGGACTCCATGCCACACTAGGATAAGCTATGCCAACTCCAAAGCACTCACCTATTAAAGCTGGGAAGAGAGAAAATGGGTTAAGAATTTTGTTGCTGTGGTGATAGTGTGCCATCAAGCAAGCTGTTTCAGGGTTTCTGAGGCTGTAAATCTTCACAGGAGCAGAAAATCTCATCTTTCTCCTGGGGATTGGCTGGAAGATTTCAACTGTTGACCTTGCAGTTAGCAGCCCAATTCACAGGCCACTACTAGGCTGCCAGGACTCTTTCCAGTTCCTGTGTTGTTAAGTGCCAGCAAGTCCGTTCTGACTCATAGTGACTCATAGTATAGGGTTTAGAGGTGGTGGCTGTGTGCCGTGGAGTCATTTCTGCCTCATAGCGACCCTACACAGGGTTTCCGAGGCTGTAAATCTTTACAGGAACAGAACGCCTCATCTTTCTCCCATCGTACTAATGACCTTGCGGTTCGCAGCCCGATTTGTAACCACTACACTACCAGAGCTCCTTCAGGGTTTATAGGAGCGGCTGGTAAATTTCAACCACCCACCTTAAGGTTCAAACTGACTTTATTATCTAGTGCTTATCCAATAGTTCCACACCAAGACTCCTCAGTTCTTGTTGTTGTTAAGTGCCATAGAGCAAGTTTTGATTCATAGTGGTCCAGTATAAGGTTTCTAAGGAGAGGCTGGTAAGTTTTAACTGCTTACCTTGTGATTCAAACCAATCTTGTGGTCCTACTTATCCCACAGTTCCATACTAGTATCTGTAAACCTTCAATAAGTGTTTGTTTAATCAAATAGAATTGATTTTTCTTTATGTGATGGAAAATCATGAAATGTCTTTGACTGAAGATCAGATTTATGTCTTGTGGCAATACAAAATATAATTCCTTAAAGTAAATAAATTTACATATTTCAAAATCCAAATTTCATACTTCCTAATGGAAGTAAGTTAGGCGTTCAAGCTCACCAGCTGCTCCTTGGAAACCCTATACAGGGTCGCTATGGGTCGGAATCGACTCAACGGCACTTGACAACAACAACAACAATGGAAGTAAGGAGTCCTGATGTGGCGCTGTGAGCTAATGCGTCAGACTGCAACGTCTTCTGAACTGCAATGTCGGTGGTTCAAGCTCACCAGCTGCTTCTTGGAAACCCTATATAGGGTCGCCATGGGTTGGAATTGACTCAATGGCACTTAACAACAACAACAATGAAAGTAAGGAGTCCTGGTGTGTTGCTATGGGCTAATATGCCAGACTTGCAAAGCCGTTTGAACTTCAAGGTCGGCAGTTCAAGCTCACCAGCTGCTTCTTGGAAACCCTATATAGGGTCGCCATGGGTTGGAATTGACTCAATGGCACTTAACAACAACAACAATGAAAGTAAGGAGTCCTGGTGTGTTGCTATGGGCTAATGTGCCAGACTGCAAAGCCGTTTGAACTTCAAGGTCGGCAGTTCAAGCTCACCAGCTGCTCCTCGGAAACCCTACACAGGGTCGCTATGGGTCAGCACTTAACAACAACAATAATGGAAGTAATCTTGGATGGAAGGGGTTTTCCACATAAGAATTGCCTAATCGATACTCACATTGAAATCAGTATTATTTGTAATGCAGCATCATTATGGAATCCTGGTGTGGTGCTGAGCTGAATGTTAATGCGCTGGATTGCAAGGTCGGCTGTAACCGCAAGGTCGGGGGTTCAAGCTCACCACCTGCTCCTCCGAAACCCTATACAGGGTTACTATAAGTCGGAATCGACTAGACGGCACTTAACAACAAGAAGCAGTGCTCTGAGAATGGGTTGGTGTCGACAGAATGTCATTACCTGCATGAGTTGCAATTTTGTCTTTATTAAGAGACAGTGAGGGGAAAATGAGACAAGGTACCTTTAAGAAGGTAAGGCCCGCTCGCCCCACCCCTGAGGTGCGGCCTGGACCAGGTGTAGGAGATTGAACCACATTTCCCAGCGGTCCCTGCAGGGCCCCTGCGCCTGCGCACTGTCAGCGAAGGACAGCCCGCCGAACTCCCGCGCTATCCCGCCACCTCGCCTACCCTCGGCTCACCTCTCCTCAGCCTGGTCATGGAGGGGCTGGCGGCGGGTAGCACGGGGGCCGCCCAGGCCGAGGGTGCCGCCGCGCCGCCGCCCCCGCCTCCTGCCTCCCCGCCGACCCTCACACCGGCTCCCGCCGCCGCCGAGGAGGCCCCGCCGCCTTTGCCTGAGGCGGGGGCGTCCGGTTGCTCGGGCCCTCGGCCCCCCGAGCTGGAGCCGGAGCGCGGCCTGGGTCTCTTGAGAAGCGGCTTCGAGGACGAGGACGAGGACGAGGAGATGGAGGAGGAAGAAGAGGAGGAGGAAGAGGAGGAAGAGATGGGCCACTTCTCCCTGAGGCTGGAGGGGGGTCGGCCAGACTCGGAGGAGGAGGAGGAGGAGGTATCTAGAGCCCTGGCGACCCCTCGGGCCCCGGCCCCGGCCCTGGCCCACCTCTTTCGTGAGATTTCTGCCATCACTTAGGATCCTGCTCTGAGGTGGCCGGAGTCGGAACCGGCCCGACGGCACAACCACAACGTGCGGGGAGCTGGGGCCGGCGTGGCGCGGATCGCCCCACGATCGCTCTGGCCGACCGTCCCATTTCTGCAGGCTGCTGGGAGGATGAGCAGCCCTTCCCCTTCTATTCAATCCGTCCTTGGAAGGAGTTTACAAAAATTATTGTTCTCATACCGTAGCGCATCCTCACTTCATCAATTTAGATAATACACCTAACCAGAATTAAATGATTAAACTTGACCACCAGTGTCTGGAAAGCTTGGCCATTTTACAAGTAATTCATAAAGTAAGACGCCCCGCATCTGGCGAGATACATTATATCCAAGAGACTAAGATCCTTTTGTAACAGTAGTCTATAGTGTGTCATTGTAACCAGCACACTATTATAAAGGGTCGGAGATAGTATATGTTTCCATGTTGCAACTTAAGTGACACATTGTATATAATGGCTTTTGAAATGATGGTTTCAGAATTTGAGAAGGGAAGGATTTGTATTTTAAGACTGTTTCCATTGCATTTGCAGCGTTTGATTCACCTTTCTGAGCTGACCCCATACATCTTGTGTTCCATCTGCAAAGGTTACTTAATAGATGCAACGACCATTACAGAATGTCTTCACACCTGTAAGCATATGTTTCCTATTCCTGCACATTTTTTTTTTTCAATTTTAGAAATGTCTCTTAAGCATCCTAATTAAAAAATTTGTTTTTTCAGTTTGTAAAAGCTGCATTGTAAGACATTTTTACTATAGCAACAGATGTCCAAAATGCAACATAGTAGTACATCAGACACAGCCTCTTTATAATATAAGGTAAGAGGAGTATCTAAGTAAAATTTGTTTTTTTGTTTTGTTTTTTTTCCCCTGAAAGCTTGCAGTTATGTAGTGGGGAATAAATTCTTGAATTATCTTAAAATTGAGCACTGGTGTGGTGCTGTAGGATAAGCACTAGAACACAAGGTCGGTTTGAACCACAGGGTTGGTGGTTCAAACTTACCAGCTGCTTCTTGGAAACCTTATACAGAGTCACTATGAGTTGGAAGGATTCTACAAGTAAATGTCTTTCATTCATTCAGCAAGTACTGTTAAATTTTTACTACCTTCATAGGCGAGTGCTTTCCAAATGATAACAAGAATTTCAAAATAGAGTCTCTGTCTTCAAGCTCACATTATTAACTGGGGTGGGGAATAAAGCTAGCACAGGTAAAACCGTTTTTGAACTACCATATTTAAAATATCCGGGATTCCTTGCTAATCTGTGATTATTTGATGTTCTCAGGTGAGTTCTATTTTAGGAATTATGTGTACTACCTAAAAGTAACTAATCTGAGAAAGGAGAAATCCATTCCCCAGAGAAAACAGTTCAACACCTACATGAACATCATTGACTCTGTATCAAAATGCATTTTTCTAAACTCTCAGGTGTTCTTCATCCTTTCCTTTTATTAGGTTGGATCGACAGTTACAAGACATAGTGTACAAATTAGTGATCAATCTAGAGGAAAGTAAGTTTATTTTACTCATAGTTGTGAATCCCAGAATCTCTGCTGATGCCACTAGTTACATTTTAAGTGTAATTCAGTCTGTGTTTTGTCACTTTTTAGGAGAAAAAAAGCAAATGCATGATTTCTATAAAGAAAGAGGTCTAGAAGTGCCTAAACCTGGTAAGTTTGGGTGTATACCATAGTATATTTACAAATCTGATAAACTTAAAAATCTTAATAGGTAACATGGGAATAAATAGCTACTTTAGTGTAATGTTGAAACTTTAGTCATTTTAGTGTATCTTTAAAAAATTGAATGTGAATCTTTTTTTGGTGAGGAAAAGCATGAATTCTCACCTTGACTGTTGTTTAAAATGAAAAACAATACACAGTATAAATTCAGCAGTGTAAATAGAGGAGGACTGAGGCCTATGCGGACTCCCGTCGTTGGAACTTATCAGGATTCCTTTGACTGACAGGTGGTTTTTGTGGTAGGGTATCTGAGGACCTTTTCTGAGAGGGCTGATTAAGAATAGAGATTTAGGAGTCCTGGTGTGGCAGTGTAGGATAAGCACTGGACTTAAAGGTCAGTTTGAACCGCAAGGTTGGCAGTTCAAACTTACCAGCTGCTCCTCAGAAATCCTATACTGGGTCACTATGAGTCAGAACTGACTTGACAGTACTTAACAACAACAATTTCACAAAGTATATTGCCCTCCAAGTTTATGAAGTGTTACACAGATGCATCATTGTTTTTCAATGTTGCATAGTATTCCATTATTGCATTTCGTTAACTGTTCTGTTGATGGGCATTTAGAATCTCTCCATCTTTTTGCTATTGTGAATAGTTCTGTAATAAATATGGATGTGCATATGTATCTACTTGGGTCTTGGCTCTCATTTCTTGAGGACATATGCCAAGTAGAAGGATTGCTGGGTCATATATCTTCTACTTGGCATATGTCCTCAAGAAATGAGATGTCTGCTCCCGTAAAGATTTACAGTCTCAGAACCCCTGTACAGGGTTGCTATGAGTCGGAACTGACTTCACAGCACATAACCACCACCACCACCATAGTATATCTTGGTGTGACGCTGTAGGGTAAACTCTGGACTGCTGACCACAAGGTCAGCAGTCCAAACCCACCAGCCACTCCTCGGAAACCCAACACATGGTTGCTGTGGCTTAGAACTGACTTCATGGCACTTAACAACAACAAGGTATGTCTACTTCCAGCTTTTTGAGGAAGCTCCATACCGTGTTTTACAATGGTTGCATCAATTTACAGTCCCACCTGTGATGTAGGAAGGCCCAGTCTCTCCACACCCTGAACAGCATTTGTTCTCTATTTTTTTTTTAACTTTGCTGTCAATGCTGGAGTAAGATAAGATCTCTTTGTTTTGACTTGTATGAATCTAATGGCTAATGATCTTGAGCATGTCTTCATATGCTTGTTAGTTGCCTGAATGTCTTCTTTGGTGAAGTGTCTGTCTGTTCATATCCTCAGCCCGTATTTTAATTAGATTACTTGAATTGTTGAGATGTTCTATAAATTTTAGAATAGTGCCTTATCTGATATGCCATTGCCAAAATGTTTTTCCCAGTTTTTGGGTTCTGTTTTTGCTCTTTAGGTGAAATCTTTTGATGCACACAATTATGTTTTAGGAGGTCCCAGTCCTGTACTGTTTCTGTGTTGTCAGTTATATTTGATAGTGTATTTATGTCATGTAGTATCAGAGCCCTCCCTAAGTCTGTCCATATTTTTTTTAGTGATGATCTTTATAGTTCTTGTTTTCACATTTAGGTCATTATTTGTATGTGGTGGGGGAGATGTGGGTGTTGTTTTTCTTTTGCAAATGGATTTCCAGTTTTGCCAGCACCATTTTTTGAAGACACTGTCTCTTCTCCATTAAATGTGTTTTTGGCCTTTTGTTGAAGATCAGCTGACCAGAGGTAGAATTTACTTCTGGCTTCTCAATTCTGTCCCATTGGTCTGTGAGCCTTTTATTGTATCAGTACCACACTGTTTTGTTTTTTTAACATTATTGTGAATTGACTAAAGGTTTACAGACAAGATCATCAGTTTTACATTCAACAAATCATATACTTTGATTCATCTCAATGATTACAATCGTCTTCATGCAGCAACAGTTATCTTGCTTCCTCTCTGTAGCTACCAATGTGCAGATATCCTCTTTCAGAGGCTTATATTTTTGTGGAACATATAAATATACATATATCCCACATTTTCTCCCAAACCCATTCAGCCTGTTTCTCTGTCCATGTATTTATACACATAACACTGTTGTACTAATGTTGTGTATATATCACTACTTATCTTGATTCCCTTTAGACCTTGCAGACCTCCTTGTGTCTTCACCTGTCTTCATTATTCTTCTGCTAACCTCCCTCTTCTTCTATATTAATCTCCCCTTCTTATATATTGCTCTCCCCATCACCAGAGTTAGCATGTGTCTACCCTCTAGCCAGTGAATTACTCTCCCTTCTTCTACCTCTTGTAACCATCAAAGAATATTTCTTTTAGTATATTTTTATACATTTTAGTATATTTTTAGTATATATTTCTTTTTATATATTTGAGTTTTACAATAGTGATCTTATACAATATTTGTCTTCTCATGATTGACTTATTTTACTCAATGTAATGTCCTCTACGTTCATCCACTATGGATAGCATCTTCAGCTATGGACAACATTGCAAAGTATGAACATTCCAGCACTTAATTGTGCTCATGAAGAATCTGTACATGGACCAAGAGGCAGTTGTTTGAACAGCACATGGGAACACTGAATGGTTTAAAACTAGAAAGGTGTGTGATAGGGTTGTATTCTTTCACCATACTTATTCAACTTGTATACTAAGCAACTAATCCAAGAAGCTGGGTTATATGAAGAAAAAGGTGGCTTCAGGAAGACTCATTAACAACCTGTGATATGCAGTTGATACAACCTTTCTTGCTGAAAGTAAAGAGGACTTAAAATATTTACGGATGAAGATCAAAGAGCACAGCCTTTGGTATGGATTGCATCTCAATATAAAGAAAACAAAAATCCTCACCACTGGACCAATAAACAACATTCTTATCAATGGAGAAAAGATTGAAGTTGTCAAGGACTTCATTCTCTTGGATCATCTATCAACACTCACGGAAGCAGTAGTCAAGAAATCAAACGACGTATTGCATTAGGCCAGTCTGCTGCATAAGACCTTTTTAAAGTGTTGAAGAACAAAGATGTCAGCTTGAGGACTAAGGTTCACCTGACCTAAGCCATGGTATTTTCAATAACCTCATATGCATGTGAAGGCTGGACAGTGAATAAGGAAGACCATAAGAAGAATTGATGCTTTTGAGTTATGGTGTTGGAGGAGAATATTGAAAGTGCCGTGGGCTGCCAAAAGAACCAACAGATCTATGTTGGAAGAAGTGCAGTCAGAGTTCTCCTTGGAGGCCAAGATGGCCAAACTTCATCTCATACTTCAGACATATTGTCAGGAGGGACCAGTCACTGAAGAAGGATATCATGTTTGGTAAGGTGGAGTATCAGAGAAAAAGAGGATGACCCTCAGTGAGATGGATTGGCAAAGTGGCAGCATCAGTGGGCTCAAGTGTGGCAACAATTGTGAGGTTGGCCCAGGATCTGGCAGTGTTTTGTTTTGTTGTGCATAGTGTCGCTGTGAGTCGGTACTGACTCGATGGCACCTAATAACAACACCACATTCATTCACATTATGCAGTGTTTCGCAGATTGATCGTTATTCTTCAATGTTGCATAGTATTCTGTTGTATGTACCAAAGTTTATCTAGTCTTCCATTGATGGACATTTAGACTGTTTCCATCGTTTAGCTATTGTGAATAGGGCTGCAATGAACATCAGTGTGCATATGTATATTTACTCTTGTCTTGGCTCGTATTTGTTGTGGATATATACCAACTAGAGGGATTACTGGGTCTTACGGTATTTCTATGCCCACCTTTCTGAGTCTGTGCCATACTGTTTTCCACAGTGTTTGAACTATTTTACAATCCTACCAGCAGTGTAAGAGAGTTCTAGTCTCTCCACACCCTCACAAGCATTTGTTATTTTCTTTTTTTAAACTTTGCTATTAATGCTGGTGTGAGATGATATCATATCACTGTTGATTTACATCTCTCTAATGGCTAATGCTTGTGAATATCTCTTCCTGTTGGCTACTTGAATGTCTTCTTTGGTGAAGTGTCTGTTCATGTCCTATGCCCAATTTTTACTTAGGTTGTTTGTCTTTTTCTTGTACAGGTGTTGTAGTTTACTATAAATTTTAGAGGTCAGTCCCTTGTCTGGTATGTCATTGCAAAAAAAATTTTCCCAGTCTGCTGTCTCCCTTTTTTACTCTTTTGGTAAAATACTTTGATGCACACAAATGTCTAATTTTTAGGAGGTCCCAGTCATCTATTTTGTCTTCCGCTGTTTGTGTGTTTTTAGTAATGTTTGATAGAGTATTTATGCCATGTATTAGAACCCGTAAGTTTGTCCCTATTTTTTCCATCAGTTCTCTTTATAGTCTAGGTTTTACATTCAGGTCTTTAATCCATGTTGAGTTAGTTTTTGTATGTGGTGTGACATATGGGTCTTGTTTCATTCTTTTGCACATGAATTTCTGGTTTTGCTAGCACCATTTGTTGAAGACTACCTCTTCCCCATTTAAGTGTTTTGGTCCTTTGTCAAGCATCAGCTGACTATATGTAGATAGATTTACTTCTGGGTTCTCAATTCTGTTCTATTGATCTTTTGTTGTACCAGTGCAAGTCTGTTTTGACCACTGTGGCTATATAGTAAATTTTGAGATCAGTGAGTGAGAGGCCTCTAACTTTGTTCTTCTCAAGCAGTGCTTTGCTTATCAGAGGTCTCTTTCCTCCTAAAGTTAGTGATAATTGTTTCCATCTCTTTAAAGAATGTTACTGCAGTCTGGATTGGGACTACATATATCTAGATGGTTTGGGTAGTACTGACAGTTTCACAATATTAGGTCTTCCTATTCATAAGCATGGTATATTTAATTTTTTTGTGAGTCTCTTTTGGTTTCTTGTAGTGGTTTTTTTGTAGCTTTCTTTGTATGGATCTCTAGTAGCAGGCTGTTTTGACTACTGTGACTGTGTAGTAGGTTTTGAGATTGGAAAG